ATATATATATATATATATATATATATTTATTTATTAATTATTTTAAAATCATTAAAAAAATATACAAGAAAATAAGATGGGAGAAATATAGCTTGATGGATTCATTTCCTACTTCAAATATAATAATTTAAAATATTAACTATATTATAAAAGGTATAAAATTTAGGAAGTTGTTTTTGTGGATTACACCATCAAAATTATAAGCCATCAGTTTTTTTAAAACCTTTTCAAAAATAAAAATATTTACATTGTCAATGCCTATTAAGATTTCTGATAAAACTATTATAAAAAGTATATAAACAATCTTGATTATCAATATAATTTTTTTTAGCGTGTTATTAATGCATTTTACAATATTTCAATTTTCTAAATTTTAAACATTAACTTTTAAAATCAAACACATGATAAAAATATCAACAAATTTTAAATTTAAAACCACAGTCAATCAAATAAGACAAAGAAATAGTGTGTGAAAACTCTTCGGATCAATAATTATAATAACATGATAATTATTAAATATTTCAATATTTTTTACTCAATTTAATTGAGTATATAAGTTAGAGTCTGTTTTTGTCAAAAATAAATACTAAAAAATAGTTTTGCTTATTCTTTAAGTTTTAGATATTTTTGGTATTTTTGTTAATGTCTAATATGTAGGAAAAGCAAGAAAGAAGAGGAGGTTAACTAAAAACTCAAAGAGAACTAAACTTAGCAATCCTCTCTTAAGCGAGTCACGTGGTCATTTAAGTGAGCAAACACATAAGCATCTTGGGAGCATCATCAAGGGACTCCACAAGCCCAATTGAAAAAAAAAATCATTTGAAATCTCATAAAATAGTATTTGAAGAAAATAGAGAAACACTCCACATATTGTATATTTTAGATAAGTTTAAGAAGATAAAGGAAGTCGTTGTTGAGATTGATGTAACCATCCTACTCCATGTAATTCCTCATGTTTTTATTCAATTGATATTTTTATCCGGTTAATTATTGTTGTTCTTCTCTTAATGCAGGATTTCATCATGGTCGCCCTCTACATAATCCCATAAATTAAATTGAGGTTGAAAAACCATTTCAAAACTATGACATGGAGAATAACACTTATTACTAAAAATAGGATAAATCTTTATAACAAACATTTTAGACCTCTAATGTTAATGTTAAGTTACTTAACAAACTTCACCAAAAATTTGAGATTTTTCTTAAAAAAATTCAAACTTCTCACCTAAGAAATTAAAGTTAAAATATTTTTGATAATCTTAAATTAACTTAATAATTACTAAAATTGAAAATGATACATGTAAGAAAAGTCGGTGAAATCAATTTTTAACATTTTTTTATTATCTTTTCAATTTTTTGTTATTCTAAATATCTTAAAATATGTTCTTTATCTTTATTGTATTCTTTAAACAAATCAATCTTTTTCTTTCTTTTTTTTCTAATTAGAATTAAATTAAATTAATTAGTTATTATATAAATCTCTATGGATTCAATACTACTTGCTACAATCGATAGCTAGTCAAAAGTCTAACATACCACAAACAAGATTAATCTCTAACTTCGTGAATTGGAGATAGCCGTGACAGGATGAAAAATAAAAATAAAACAAAGAAATACCGTTGGAAGTTTCCCAGACTCAGGCCCAATTTCCTGCAGTGAGATACAAATTTTATTTTGAAATCAACGGTCAAAATTAACTTTATAATGATTCAATTATTTTATTAATATCTCATTGAATGAACAGAAAGAGAACAGAAAGAGAGAGAGAGAGAGAGAAATCTCTGTTCTTTGTAGGTAGATTATTAGACCACCTCATCATTGGGCACAGACGAAAAGGTAGATTCTTGAATTTCATGGCCATTCACATTCATTCTCAAAAATTAGTGATTGTTCCACAGAAGTGACAAAATCCCAGTGACCGATAAAGAAATCATGAAGTAAAAAAATAAATAGAAATAAAAAAATAAAGAATGCTAAAAAATGAATTACTACAAACTTTGAGAAAAAAAAAAATTAAACTGTAGCTAAATTTAACGTGAACCTTCACAATCTACAGCTTCCTCGATTCTCTGACCCGGTGGTGGACTAGATTGAAAACGTCAAGGCTTTGAGCTTTGCATATACAAAGATGTGCCGACTAAATAATCCATTCTCTGAAATTGCACAACGACAAATCATTTCAGTTGCATGCTTCAGGTGATTCTATTCACAAACTTCTTGTAACTGATTCATGACTCCCACCATAAACATCATTATCTAAATTGCGGTGCTTCTAGGACAACTTAAGTTATCATGGAAGCTTTGGTTATACAATATACAGGATTGCCCCCACCCACCTCCACATCAAGCCCAACTGGAATGACCAACACAAGTTTTGTCGATGCATCCAAAATGTTTAAATTTTATACTAAATTAAATGCTACCCACTCTTACCAAAGTAAGATGTTACCCTTAGAGGAATTACCAGAGAGAAAAAATTGTGTTCATTTGTCATGGTGAGATATACTAGTGCTCCATCAATTATTTTTTCACAAATGGTTTCTGGCAAACAAGTAGCCGCTGGTCACTGCCATTCTGAAGATCAATTATTCTAGCTTCCCAACGTACTTGTGTTGCAAGCATGCGAGCCATCTCTATAGCTCCCATTGTATCAGAAAGAATGACCCATCCCTACAAAAATGATGCAATGTAATAAATAAATAAAAAAATGGCTTCATTGACCATTCCAATATACTGAGACAGCGAGACTGACAACTTCTTGCATTCAGAACCACAAATCCAATAAATTAGTACTACCTTTTGATCTTTATACAGGCCCCTTTAACCAATAAATTAGTACTACCTTCGGAATTCAGTTAATTTAGGCTATGTTAAGATCGGTGACAGAGAATCGAATGGAATGGAATGGTTGGAATGTAATAAAATGGGATAATTGAAACGAATCAAACAAAAATGTCATTCTATTGTATATATATTTTATAACGGAATAAATAATCATGAAAATGAAATTAAATTATTGCAATTATTGTTAATGACCAGAAAAAATCATCTAGTAATTACGGGGATTTCAAAAGAAGAGAAAGAAAATTAATGTGACGAACAATTTGGAAAGGGTCTTATAAAAAGAGTATTACCTAATATCTTTCAAAAGAAAAAAGATAAAATGGTGCAAAAGAAGAAGGGTGCAAGGTTCTGCTAATTTTGTTTTATGTACATAGTACCAAAATCAAGGGCGAAACCTTCCAAGCAAAAACAATCATGAAAATGAATATAAACAGGAACATCATAATTCATACCTCTGGACGCAGTATTCTATCCATCTCCAAGAACAAGTCTATTGTGCTGCACCTCTCAGAGGAGAGATGTGAGAGAAGTCCATATGCGTGAAGCATATCATATGTCCGGGGGTAGGTGGGGAAAGGTTCACACCTGAAGATCAATATCAGTAGTCAGATACAAAAATGAAGTATCCGGAAGCAGATATGCATTGACTCTATATTTTACAAAGAGGTTTGTCAATAAACTCCAAAGAAGAGAGAGACTTCACAGAGTGAACTCCAAACATGCAGATGATGTTCTTTAGAATTGGGTTTCACAATAAAACTACGTTTACTTTAAATGCAACATATCACGCGCATGCATGCATGCATCCTACATTCATCATCAAATTTATTCTCAAAAGAAAGGCAAAATAAAGAAACTAAGAGTGTGTTTGACATAAAAGGTTAAAATGTGAATATTAGGTATGGAAATCTCAACGTTGAATGTTTTATATAAAAATTTTGGTATATAATACTACTTCCTTTCCTATTTATAAGACCCAACTCGGAACAATTGTTTGTTCCTTATAAAAGACTCGATTCATGTTGTCTCATATATTAATTATTTTTAGACTAAAATACTCCTAATAAAAGTGTGTTTTCTTAATTTGGTAAAATGCATTAATTATAAACTCTTTAAAGAATATACACTTTACTACTTGTTTACAAGAAAGATGAGTATTAATTAGGAGAGATAAATAATATAAGACATGCACTCTAATTAGTTAAAAGATATATAAGTATTAATTAGGAAAGAGAAGTAGTATTAGGGTAGTTTTAGAAAAAAAAACATATATATAAATAAAATAAATTTATTGTTATCAACTAAAGTAACTACTTTTAATTTTGGTGAATTAAGTAATTGAGTTTTATATATAGAAACGGAGGTAGTAACTTTTTGTTAAAGCATTTAAAAAAAACAGTAATGGTTTTCAAATACTTTGTTTTAAAAGATAGTTAGGGTTACAGATTTTTTTTCCAAAAGCTACTCAAAGCAGCTTCTCAAAATAATAAGAAATCTGTTTCTTTATTCAGAAATATGATTTTAAACAAACACAAAATTATAAAATGTTACCTTTTTTCAAAATAAAAGGGTTTTTTTTCGGGAAAAAAATAACTGAAATAAATGGACACTAAACTAATAAGTCTACATTAGCCGAACTAATTCCATTTAATAATTTACAAAATAAGGAGTTGCTGATGATTCATTTTGTACATATTTTACAAACATCACTAAATCATTTGCAATGCTGATATTTTCAGATTCAGCTGTAAAAACATCATGAACATGTGTCTGTTTGAAATATGCTATCAAAAATTACTAACACTTTCCCAGCTAGCAAACACCAATCTTTTTTCATTTGTCATAAGAATGAGCTAATGATAATATGGAAAATGAAATAAAAATTTATCAGGTTTTAGTAGTGTAATCAGTTTATCACCCTCAAGCTCAACAGTCTTAACTTCATACCTTGAATCAACTTTCAAGAATATGGAAACCTTGTTTAGATCACGGTTTCAGTTTCACACACAGCTTACCTAGATCAGGAACAAAAAAGCAACTTACCAGTCATGCATGACACCAGCAAAACCTCTATCTAGAATAAGAGGAAGCGCATTAGAAGCTCTGGAAGGAACAACATTCATGACCCACACTGATTTTTTCTCCTCCAGCAGGGCCGCATTCAAACCCCCATAATTAGCACTCATGTCCATAACATTCCGGATCATGTTATATGGAGGCAATGGATCTTCATCTCCAGGTCTCTTTGGATGGTCAGAGAAAATTAGTGGCGTAAGTAATGACCAATAATTATTGACAGCTGATCTCCAATATTGCAAGTCTTCATAAAATTCTTCAGGCTGAACTCCTGAAATAATGAGAAATTCATGAAAGGTAAAGCAGTACAAAGAGGAAATAAAATTTGGAGGGAAAGAAGCTTGGAGAAAAGCATATGCATTAAGCTATTAAGAAAAAATACTTACCATGAATTTTAAGTTCAGCAGAGCTCAAATCAGATTCAGAAGATCTGTTCTGTATTGCAATCCAGCGCTTGCTAGAGGTCCCACTTATACACGGGACAAGAGGCCGATAATAAGACTGAGTATCTTCTCCTTTACATAGCTCTATAGTATGCTGCTTACTACAATTAAGAAACAAATATCACTGAAAACCTATAGTTATAAAAGTAAGTGTTCAATCAAGCAAGCCAATAGCAGAACTAGTGATAGTAATATTAGTCAACTCAAATAAAAAAATAAACAGTCTATTGACTATATTTATCATTTACATCACTCAAGATAATACAAATATCCTTACCGAGATGCATAACAATCAACATCAGCAGTCTTCTGCCAGACGAAAGTTTCTTCTTGCTGAGCAAGAAGAGTCCAGCACAGTTGCTGGGTCAGCCCTTCCATTGGGTTTGACATGATTCTCTTTTTCTCCCGTGATGAACCCTGTGGCCTGCTTGTAGGTGATGTTAAAACAAAATATCCTCCAGGTTTAAGAACTCGATCAACTTCTATAAGGGGCATTCCATCTGTAGCATGAAGTCAATGTTAGAAAGCAAAGGACAGCAGTTCATACAGAAGCTAAATGATATTCACTATGGGATAGAAAAGTCATGGAACAATGGAAAAAGTATAAGGAAATTTAATGATATGGAGAGAAAGAAAAAGACTAAAAAAATGGGTCACATTATCATACAAACATTTCAGAAACCTATTTCAGACATCGATTCAATTGGTGACAAACAAATAACTTAGAAATGAAACAGGAAGCAACTTTTATAACTATATGTAGGCCCACTTTTTCTTGTGATGAAATTCAGTTAAATCATCAAGAATGGATGTAACAAGTATCTGAATTCTCAACATTTGATTATAAAAACTACTGTATTTCAAGGATCAATTATCCCACAAACTTGTGATGTTAGGTGAAGGCCTAGAATGATTTTTAAATCTCTAACACAAGGTCACTGCATTTGTGTCATTTCAAGTGTTGGTGATAATTTAGCCACAAATTTGACATTTGACAAATAGCCTAATCATACCTATTTGGCCTCACAATCTACACCACTAAATATTGTGCACCTCGACCGTACTCAGTCTTCTCTCTCCTTTGTCATCAAATACAAGTTTTGAACAAATACAAGGACTTCAATCTCAAAAATACACAAATATAATATGAATTTGTTCACCAACATTTAAGTTAACAATACTACCAAAGACAGATAGAATTTTATAAGTATAACGCCTACAAGGAAATCAACTCTGCTAAGAATGAAATAGTAATTAATGTCCATTAACTGTATAATTACTTTGATCCTCCCACATAATGCCACACTGAGCACAGTGAACCATGTCATAAGATAGTGACGGATATGGAAGCTGTCTTGCGATAAAGTTCCCAATCATAGCAGGAAGACCTCTCTCAAGACACAATTGAACTTGGCTGCCAGTTGCTTCATATGCCGCAAGACAAACTGCCATTATTTTCAGTGATAATAAATGAGCTCCAAAGCTGCCAAATCCACAATTAATATCTAGTATATTTCGAACCTGTTGTAATGTGAGTAATATAGATCAGTCATATTCATTACAGAACAAAAATAACATTGTCTTTAATGAGAATCAAAAAGAATATAGGCAGCTAAATAACATAATCTGTCATTACTGTACTATACATGGAACTATTTTACACAAACCCTACCCATGTAAAACATTATGGTTCCCCAAAGAATAACAATCAGTAGGCCATGGTGTAAGGAAGACTTACACCAGCTTGAGGAACATTTTGAAACAAAAGAACACGGTCATTAATGAGAATCGATACAGAATATACACAGCTAAATAACATAATCTTTCATCACTGTACTATACAAGGAATTATTCTGCACAAATCCTTTCCATGTAAAACACAATAGTCCCCCAAAGAATAACAATTAGTAGACCATGGTTTATGAAAGACTTACACCAGCTTGAGAAAGCTCAGTGTCACTTCCTAACCCTATCATCTCCGCAAGTTGGCGAGCATAATCTTTCACACCGTTGAAGATCAATCCATCCTCGGAGTGAAAGGCAATTTGATTCTCTTCTAGCAACATCAACCTATAGAAATCATCACAAAAGTGAATTGAGTCTTGTGTGCAAAAACAATGTGCATGGGAAACGAGAACCTCACTAAAAGTGATCAGTCAGGTTCTTCAGCAGAGAGAAATCATCACAAAAGGTAATTGAGTCTTGTGTACAGAAAAATGTGGTTGGGATACGAGATCCTCACTAAAAGTGATCAGTCAAAAACTTCAGCAGAGAGAAATCATCACAAAAGGTAATCGAGTCTTGTGTGTAGAAAAAATGTGGTTGGGATACAAAAACCTCACTAAAAGTGATCAGTCAAGTTCTTGAGCAGAGAGAAATCATCACAAAAGGTAATTGAGTCTTGTGTGTAGAAAAAACGTGGTTGGGATACGAAAACTTCACTAAAAGTTTAGTGATCAGTCAGGTTCTTGAACAGAGATTAGTCCATGAATACTTCATACAAATAATATTGTAACTAAAAAAAAACTAGAGAAATCATCATAAAATGAAAAACAAAAAAGACCAAGTTCCTTATAGGAAGCACCTTTTGGTGATACTTCCAGAGGAAAGAAACTGATCCTTGGTTAGCTTGACATTGGCGCTCCATATAACGTCCCTCCCACTGGGCCATCGCAACGGAATCTTGTACTCCTTGGGAGGCCGAACCAAGCACCTCTCCGTCCCCTTCGACACCTCGCAGTGCCGATCAAACTCCTCACCCTCTCTAAACCCCGACATCAAATTCGCAGACACATTGTGACACGGCACGAAATTCTCCCTCTCCTTCCCACACAGCCCCACCTCCTTCTGCCTCGCGCCACCGCTCGACACCGACCTCAGCTCCAAGTAATCCACCGCCGCCTGCTCCTTTATCCTCCTGTAGTTCGTGTAGATTAGCGACTCCGCAGTGCGATGCGCCGCCCCAACGGCCTCCGAAGACGACGAAGAATTGCTCAACACTGCCGCCACCGCCAGGAGACTTATCAGGATCAGGATTAACCAGCTCAGCGGCGGCTTAGGCCCAACGACGAACGACACTTTCTTCAACCAAGAGCTTCTCATGTCCAAATTCGCCACTCTGCCACAGATTCAAAACGACGCCGAATCCTTCACTCCGCTAACCCTAATTTCCCCCACCATAACACCGCACTCCCTCCCGCCGCCAGCATCGAAACCGCGTGGAGCAATGCCAATCGGAGGAGCGAAATCAGATCGCCGGCGAAACTCGAAATTGGAATCGCGACGCGGATCCGAGAGGGGAATTAGGGTTTGGATGAAGAAAAAGAGTGTTAGATTGGATTGATTTGGAAATTGGAAGTGAAGATCGAAGAAGAGCGGTATCTCCGGTTGGGTCCAGATTATTTGGATTGCTACCTTTCGAAACTAACCATTCTTCTCTTTCTTACTTTATGTTATGTGTCTCCCAATCATTCATTATTAATCATTTTCTAACTTGTACTGTTTCTCTTCCATTAATTAAAATTTAAAACTAAACAAGGAAAATACAATTGCTAATATAGCTTTTTGAATTAAATTACTACCCTGCCTTCCCAATCCAGCATTCATTAAATAATCAATAATTGTACAATTTTAATACTCTTTCTACTTTTAGTTTTTGGCCAATTAATGTATTTTTTAGTAAAAATACTTTTAATTTCTTAACTAAGATAGAGTATTGAATATTGATCATAAATTTTAATAAATGATAAAATGGTCATAAAGTGGAGCTGAAGCACTGATGACAAGGATGGCAGCAGTAATCAAGAGATACCAAATGGAGGCAATTCGCTGCCAGCCAGCCAATCATTCACAAGTTGAAGACAACCTTGTGTGTCCAAGTTCTTATTTTAAATGAAACTTCATTTCTACTATTTGCAATATCAATTCAATTCAATTCTTTTTTAAAATATCATTGAATAGTCCTTTATTATTATTATAAATGTTTAGTATTTTAGTCTTTTGTTTATTAACTTAAAGGATTAAAGTGTCCATAATTATTATTTTGAAGTAATTTCTTTAGAAATTGAAGTATTTTTAGTGGTTTCTCAAAACCAACTTTTATATTTTTCCTAATATTTTTATATGGGATTATGTAATCTAAAAGTTACCAACCCCAAAATATTCTAAAATTTTAAAATATTTAAATAAAATAAAATATTATATTTGAAATTGTTAACATCATTGAGTAATTGGAATGAAGAGTGGGAGGATTTTTGATTTTAGAAAATATAACATTCCTGAATAACAATAGTATAGTTGTACTTGTGTACAGCTAAAGAAACATATTTTTGCGGCACATGTCCAGCTAGGAGTGGATGCATGTGTGACATGACATAATATATGATATTAAAGCCTTCACATTCCCCACGCAATATCCGCATCTGCCTTCCAACACAGGAAAATAATAATAATATTATTATTTAAAAATAATTTTTTTAATATACATTTCTAAAAATAATTAAATCTCTATATTTATATTTTAATTTTTTTTATCAATATATCTAAAGATTATAAGAATAGAATGCATATAAAAAATAATAAACTTTAAAAAGTAGTAACTATAAATTTATTTAAAAAGTATTTATTTTTTTTTCACATAAGGATAGAACATCTTTTTCGTTACTACTAATAATAATAATTTTTATGACCTAAATATTTTATATTTCATGTAAGACAAATTTATAATATATAATAATAAATAAAGGAAATATCTCTTTTTAATGTCTACTTTTTTAAAGATAGTTTTATTTTATTTTTTTCTCACAAATTTATATTTAAAGATAAAATAGAAAAATATATAAAAATGAAAAATAATTATCTCTTTGAAAATAATAATTATCTATTTTTTATGAAAAAATTATTTTATTTTATTTTTTTTACGGAGGCATAGAGTACCCTTTTTCTTAGTAGTATTTTATAAGTTTAATAGGTATTTACTTCTAGGGTGAAAGTTTTTCTATCTCATGTTACATCTTTATAATGTGTTTAGATGGAGAATTTAAATGGAGTAATTCATTTATTTGAAGAATTTTAAATTCTTTGAAGTGAAATACCTTGTTTGGATAAAGAATTTATAAGAAATTTAATATTCAAGCATTTGTGAAATTTCTTGAAATAGTAGAATTTCAAATTCCTCAAAGGATGAGGTCTATTGGGACACTGCGTGGTAGTACCTTTGCAGTAGGTTGTCTTTGGTCTGGTAGGACCCACTGAGCTATTCTACCATGATTTTTGAGTCACTGTTGCAACTCACCCTTTGCGCTCTGAGGTCGTGAGCCAACCTCAGCCTTGCTAGTAATGCTTCGTACTCTGCTTGGTTATTAGTGACTCTGAATCCAAATTTAAGAGATTGCTCTATGGTGACATTGTTGGGTCCTTCCAAAATAATACCTGTACCACCACCTTTAGTGTTGGAAGATCCATCAACATGTAGAGTTAAGGTACATTTCTGAGTAAATAAAACTTTCTTAAAAATAAGGTTTCAAAACACATAGATAGAGAGTTCATATTCATATTTCGCAAATCGTAGTCCCATGCAGAAATTATGACAAAATAATACATTAATCTTTCCAAAACACAATAACAATAATGAAACTCCAATGCTAAACCTAGCTAAGCCTCGATGTCACATATCTTATCAGAGCGTGCCCAACTGAAGCCTAAGCCTCATCACCAACATCTTCATTCTGATGATCACCTGCAACACAATTTAAACACATACAAAGAACAACGAGGGAGTAAGAAACATCTAACTCGGTTCCAAGTGCAGAAATAAAGGTTAGATAGCACACACACAACAAACATAAGTCACATGTAAACAATACATATACACAATCAATATCACATGCACACTCATTTATCATGCAATGATGTCATGGACTCGACTCGTAAATGCATGCATGTGGCGCTATACGGAAGTTTCATATTTCTCATCATTTCATCACATCGCTTGTTTCAACACTAGTATGCGGCCTAAGCGGCATACCTGGAATAAGTCATTTCATCACATACCTTGTTACATCATTAGGGACCCTAAGGTACACCTTGTTAGCTTGTTACATCACTGGTGACCCTAAGGTACACCTTGTTAGCTTGTTACATCACTGGTATTCGGCCTAAGCGGCACACCTGGTTAATAGATCATATATGCACATGATGCATGTCACACATTCACTATTTCATTGACTCAGCATTTCACTTGTCATGGAATTCCATGTCTCATATCATCACATTTCACATTCTCATAGTCATAGCTTATCTCATTTCATCACATTTCACATTCTCATTCACATCGTGTCTCATGTCATTTGTTCATATTTTACATAGTCATACTCATAATTGTTCCTCATAGGGTTTCGCACAGGAACCCACAAAGCACTCTAATTTATATCAAAACATACCTAATTTTGAAATCAAATACATATTTACACTCTATATCGCACAAGGAACGCAACAGAGCATTCAGAAAGCAAAATAGAAAATATTCATATTTTGCCTGTTTCCCATAAGGTTCTTTCCTGAACTCACAAAGCACTATAGTTCATATCAAAACATATTTATTCTCAAAATTAATTACATATTCACACATTACATCCAACATGGAATACAATAGAATAATCAGAAGAAAAAATAGAAAACAATTATATTTTGCCTGTTCCTAGAAGCATGCATCAGGCAAGAGATTTGTAATTTTTAGTAAAATTGAGTCATCCAGCGGCTGATGGACAAAGTTTTCCACCACCAAATCAGGCGGAACATGGAGGTCTACGTGGACAACATGGTGGTAAAAACCATCTCAGCACCGGACCATGTCTCCGATCTTGCCGAGATGTTCGCCCAGATCAGAAAACACAAGTCCATACCTGCTTTTCTTCTACCGAGGTTGGGGTGAGTTCGGCCACAAAATCTGCTAGGCATTGAACCTTCAAGGGGCCTCAACTTTCATATCAGATTTCAAACTCGGATAGCTCTACGGACCACGCGATCATGCGCCTTACGAGTTCTAGCTTCCTCAGTATTTGTTTGATTGGGTAGTCTGTTTTGACGATGATTTGGTGGCTTTGAAAATAGGGCTGGAGGCGTCGGCCCGAGGTGACCAACGCTAAGGCCAACTTCTCAATCGTTTGGTATCTTTTCTCTATGTCTTGAAGAACTCGGCTAATGTAGTATATAGGGGTTTGGTTCTTGTTGCACTCTTGCACCACCACGACGTTGATTGCATTTTCAGCCACCACCAAGTACAAGAGGAGGTCGGATTGATGATCTGGCCTTTGTAGGACTGGTAGGGTGGCGAGGAAAGTTTTGAAGCTCTTAAAAGCTTCTTCACATTGGTCAGTCCACTCAAAATTCTTCAGCTTGCATAATAAGGTGAAGATGGGCCCTATTTTCTCCGCCAACCTAGGGATGAAACGAGAAAGAGAGACTAACCTTCTTGCCAAGTGTTGGACGTCTTTGACGGTCTGGGGGCTTTGCATCTGTATATGGTGTTTCATTTCTCCGGGTTGGCTTTGATTCCCCTGTTGGTGATCATAAAGCCAAGAAATTTACCTCCCTGGACACCGAAAATGCACTTTTCCGAGTTTAGGCACATGTTGTGCTTCCGAATTTGGTTGAACACCTCGGCCAAGTCGATGGCGTGAGCCTCGGTTGACGGTGTTTTGATGACCATGTCGTCTACGTACACCTCCATATTTCTCCTGATTTGGCGCTAGAAGACTTTATCCATCAATTTTTGGTAAGTGGCTACCGCGTTCTTAAGGTCGAAAGGCATCACGCGGTAGCAGAAGTTGGCTTGATCGGTGATGAAGGTGGTGTTTTCTTCATCCGGTGGATACATCATAATCTGGTTGTACCCCGAGTATGCGTCTAGGAAGTTGAGAAGGGCGTGGCTGGAGGCCCCGTCGCCCAGCCTGTCTATGCTCGGCAGAGGGTACGCATCTTTTGGGCATGCCTTTTTCAGGTCAGTGTAATCGACACACATGCGCCACTTGCCCGAGTGTTTCTTGACGAGTACTACGTTGGCTAGCCAAGTAGTGTATCTGACTTCTCGGATAAAGCCTTCTCTCAACAATTTTTGCTTTTCAGCCACGATGGCTTCTCGTCTTTCCCCACCGACTTTGCGTTTTCTCTGAGCCACTGGTTTGGCTTCTTTATGGATCGCCAACCTGTGACAGATAAGGTTAGGGTCTATACCTAGCATGTCGGCGCTGTACCATGCAAAGAGGTCGGGTTTTTTTGAAGATTTCAGCTACAAGTTGTTGCCCCAACTCCATGCTCAAATGTTAGCTTATCTTGGTGCACTGGCCAGGGAGTTTTCCGATTTGCAGATCAGCAAGCTCGTCAATTGGACTCGGTTGGTTGTCATGGGATTCCGTCCTTGAATCTAGGTCAGTGACGTCAGCTTGGGTTATGTGAGCTACT